GCGGCTCCAGAGCACTGGGAATTGGGGGGGGGGGTCCTATTCGTGAAGCGAGTCATTTGGGCGAAGATCACGATGCTGATGTATTATAACTGTATGCACCAGTTTTACGAACAGTGAATGAAAGGTATCATGTGATAACATATACAAAGTTATTGTGCATCCTCTTTTGACACGTTTTTGCTATAATAGGCGGATCCAGGCGTCCAAAAAGGGGGGGGGGTTATGTTTTACCTCCCAACATAGGTGCCCATGACCAATACAATTGTAGTCGTTCTCTCATAAGAAAATTGTAACATAACAAGACCATTGCCACCCTTTTTAGAAACAGTACCAACAAAAACCTCATCTACTATGCTTTTTGTGTACCCCCAATCTCAATGATCTGTATCCGCCTATGATTTTTGAAAATACATATTTTTAGGATCCATGTGAATTCCTGGTTCATTCTCTATCGATCGGCAAAAGTTGCGTTAAGATTGGTTCAGAAACCTGGCCGTGATAAACAGTCTAAAATGTATCTGCAATTTGTCCGTTTTTACCCCCCCCCCTACCCCCCCCCCCCATTGACATTTTTAACTTTTATTTTTTAGAAATGTAGATCACGTTGAGCGAAATCGAATGCCGTTTGAATTTTGAAAATCGGCCCGTTAGATCTCGAGATATCAGGGGGGTCGTAAACAGCCCCCCCCCCTGCCACTAATAGGGGTAGCCAGGAGCCTGCCACTAATAGGGTTAAGAGCTATCGAATGCGCTTTTAGCGGCGCTGTAGCTCTATTGGTTCCTGACTTAGCCGTCGGTTGTTTCAAAATTGTTGAAATCGACAACATTTGGCCTTTGATGACCTCTGGTGACCTGACCTTTGACCTGACCTCAAAAATGACTGAAGTGATTTCTTCCTTATTTTCCTTATTTTGACGCTCTTTCGTTTGCCGCTTACCGCGTGTCGCTACGTGGCCGGGGCCAAGGAGCCGAGCTAGACGGGGGGCGTGAAAGCGCCCCCCCCCCTCCCTCCACCACTCGGCGGGAAGTTCAGGCCACCAGCACGGTGCGGGATAAAACACTGAAATAAATTCATGATACAAAGATTTTGTTGTAAAAGGGATTCGGTGCATATTTGGTCAAATTAGGTACATTTGCCAGATATCCCGTCGTGAAAACAGCTAGTGTGCCCTCCTGCGACCTGTGACCAGCTTCGTGGCCTTAACATCCTTGGCCTGACTTTGATATTAGGTAGGTCAAAATTCCAAGTTACTCTTTTCCAGAAAAATTATGTCATTAGACGCTCCTGAGCATGACGAACACTGGCGCCAAAATCGCGACACTGCGATTATTTTTGGCGAAGTTATTTGCGAACAGAAACCCATTATTTTGGGACATTTGACATGACCTCAGAGGTCACCGCTTGACCTGATATCCCAAAAGTGTGTACAATCCAGTCGCTTCTTCTCACAATGACAAATACATTCATTTTCCCCAGCTCTAGATCAATTTAGGGGTGAAACGGTTAGGGGAATCCACTAACCCCGCGGTATGCAGAAAAGCTTTCGGTCCGGCGAGGGTAAAACAAAGCTTACCTTTTCTGAAGAAGCGGATCCAGATAACTTAGGCAGACCAGGCTCTCTGTTTAGTCGAGTATTAAGTCCGGACGTATCCAAAATATCACCAAATCACTACCTGATATCACGGCAGTGATGCACATCAGTCAGGGCACTGACGTCGACGGCGAGCTAACGATGACGCGAGATGTCACCTGACCTCATCTGTTGCCCTCTGCCAAAACTTTCGTTGAAATGTCAGTCCGAGGTGCTAATAATTCCAGTCCATCTATCCGTCCCGACAGTCACACTCCATTCTACTCTGGCTTCTTCTTCCACGAGCTTCGACTACTGCTGCCTGCGCGAGTCAGACTTGGACATTTGCTGCCACGAACATCAGACTTCGACCACTGAAGCAACGAACGTCCGACTTCGACACTTGCTGTCACAAGCGTCACACTTCGACTACTGCGGCTACGGGTGCCAAATCAGGCTTCGGTCGGCATCACTTAAGTGACCACGCTATGAATCCATCCCGGTCAGCAGCCCTAAACGTTACACGCACACACGGTCACCTTCTTTAACCCGCGCCCTGATGGGGGGGGCCATTTTGGCCCCCCCCCTGTGGTTTTTCTTAAATAGCGAGAAAACGGCGGCGCGCAGCGCCGCCAAATTTTAAGTACCTTACCGGACATCAATTTGACACCTTCACACAAAATTTCAAGTCACAGGTCACCTCAGGTCAGGAGTTATTGAGGTCAAACTGAGGTCATGTTCGAGCAAAAATGAGCAAAAAACATGACATCTTGAAACGTTCACCAATTCTACAGTTAACAAGCAATTTTAAAGTTCTTTATGTGGTTGTGTAGAGAAAAGACGGCGCTACAAAACTGCTATCTCGGATTTTCGAAATTTTGGGAATTTGACCCCAAAAAATCAAAAAAATTGATTTTTTTAGAAAAACTCAAAAAATTTCCAAAAATTTTTCGAATTTCGAAAAAAACCGGAATATATGTGATAGTCCCTGCGCTCTTCGATATACATACCAAATTTTAGATCGATACCTCTTTTTTTGGCCAAGCTATAGCGAAAAAACTGTTAAAAATTGATGACGTCAAATTTTTGAACTCAATTTTTAGCAATTCTAGACCTCGTAGCGCAAAACGGAGACCACCATTGAACTCCCCGTGACGAGCTGCATCGAATCAATACCCATTTTATGCAAAAATATCAACTTTGAAATTTGACCTAATTTGACCTGACCTTGACCTGACCTTGACCAAAACGTGACCTAAGCTGGCCCTAAAGTCTGTCTGACCCACATAATCGCATTTGTCATGTAAAATGGACCATAAAACATGTATCACACGACACTTTCATATTGTGACCCCCCCAGTGACCTGACCTCTGTGACCTGACCTGGTATCAGTGACCTCAAATAGCAAAATATGTGTTTGAAGAACATTTCTCCATCGATGATTTTCAATGAAGTGCATTTTACTCGATTTTACAACGCATTTCTTGAAATGCCTGTAAACGGTGAAAATTCGACCTTTGACCTGACCTGTGACGTCATCGGTTTGACCGAGGTCAATGAAATTGGGTCACAAGGTAGTTCCCCGCTGGGGCTATCCAACACCGTTTACCGCTTGTCGCTATGTTGCGTGGTTCTCGAGATCTGAGGGGGGGGCCAAAATGGCCCCCCCCCCATCAGACCGCGTTGCTCGGCAGACCCCATCTGGGCGCGGGTTAATTTTCCGCCAGAATAATCGCTTATGATGATCGCTGAGGCCATATGATAGCTAAGCATTAGGCATACCTATCTCGGCAGCCTACCGGTCGAGCACACCGACAACTTGTTGCGCCTTTTTTCCTACTGACCTCGCCGAACGGAAAACCGCGCTTCAACACTTGCCGCGACACTAACTGCCGAATAATCACACCCGCTGCTCTCCTCTCCTGGTATCCACATCACCACGATCCCCGCACCGTTTGTCCGCGCTGAGCGGCGCGGCGCGCGGCGGAGGCCGGCGGCCGGGCTGCGCCTCTGACGGCACTGGCCGCGCCGGCAGCCTGTTGCTCGGAGCAGGCGGCGCGGTCCCGGCCGGAGCCGATCGATCCAGGTGAGCCGGCGAGCGACAAAGGCCGCCCCCGTCCCGAGACCGGCGCCACACAGCCAGAGAGAGCGAGACGCCCACCTCTGCAGACTGGAGGGGGGGGGGGGGTGACTGGGAGAGATCAGACTGGAGATCAGACTGGATTAGAGATCAGACTGGAGATCAGACTGGGCCACTGAGCGAGAGACTCACACCTCTGCAGACTATGGGAGAGATCAGACTAGAGATCAGACTAGAGGTCAGACTAGAGATCACAGTAGGGGAGATCATATTGAGGGAAATTAGACTGGGGGAATAAGGTAAGGGATCAGATTGGGGGAGGTCAGACCAAGGGAGATCAGACTAGGGAATATCAGACTAGGAGAGACTAGATCAGAAGGAAGACCAGACCGGCGCGAGATGACCACATCGCTGCGGACTGAGGGGATATCAGCGGAAAATTAGCTAGAAAGTAAGCCCAGGAGGGAATCAAAGGCGCAGATCAGATGGTTACTGGACCGGAGCCGAGAAGACCAGACCAGAGATTCCACAGACTTTTCTAGGACCCAGCCGTTTCAAGCGGTCTCATAACGTGCTATTTCATCTCACAGGGACCTGCAAGGAGCAACTACTCTGACTCGTCTCGTCTCCATGACTCCCTACGGAATGCCTGAACCTTACATTCATAATCTAACTCTCACAGCGGCTGGTTTGTTCCACCTTTATCCTTCATTAGCATAAAAGCAGCCACAGGCCTAACGTAGATGTAGAACGTAGAACGAAGAATACGAACGAAGTTCTGTGCTATCCCGTTTTGCACCCTTGCAGGCTGCAGCCATAGCCAGGCGGTCCGGCATGTCTCCTTGGGAACCGCTCAATGTTCGTCGCTTATTGTTCTGCATCGTACGAGTATAAGATGTAAAAAGCTATGTCGTGGAGCTGAATATATAAATAAAAAGGACGCCAGTGGAAACGAATTTCAAATCACACATAATCTATGGCTTTAAAACTTCGTATTTACTTTCACATTCGATCAAACAATACCTTTCTGGGACCAGGCAAAGTCAAAGTAACCCCTGCAAGTTGCATTATGAAATAATCCTCGAGAGGCGGGGACAAGTGCAGGACGAGGCCATTAGGGTACGATCATGCCACGCACCAACTCAAGAGCCCAGGCACTGGCCATAAAGTGGTTTATCTTATCGTCTCAGAGTTGAGCTAACGGCTACAGAGCGAGCATACTTCCGTAAATGACTCAAGGTATGGCTCTAAAACGCTACGCTAAATGTGATGAAAGATGAAATGTGTCGGGGTATAGCTTGGCCAAATTATTTTCCGATACCCAAAGTCCTCTCCAGGCACATCAGAGTTTAGACACAGTGTGATTTATTGTAATCCAGCGATGACAATAGAGAAGCATGTTGTCGCAGCTGAGCGCGTTACAAGACCGCCCGAACACAGATCGACGGCTGACGTCGGTATGAGAGAGTCCCGCCGGTCCAGGGGCGCCGGCAGGGAACGGTCGGTCCCTCCTCCCATCCACTACTTCCACAGCTTCTTGATGGACATGTTCTTCTCCGAGTCCTTCTGCATGATCTTGGCCACGGCCATCTCGAAGTCCTCCTGGTTGACGTGCACCCTCCGCTCGCGCAGCGCGTACATGCCCGCCTCCGTACAGACACCCTGCGGATAGGGCAGGCGTCAGTAACAGCTCTTACACAGGACAACGGTCAGTTTGCAGGCATATCACAACAAAGTTACATGCTGCTGGCGCAACCAGCCGACAGCGGCAATGTTTCACAGACAGAGGACAGAACAGCTAACAAAACTCCCCGACAGCAGCCAATTGCTGTAAACGCTAGGTACTGGTCATATTCAGTAGAAATATTTAGAAACGTTATGTAGACAGCGGCAAATTCTGCGGATAATTACTAATACTATGACAACATTCATCCACACAAAACAGCGTTCACAACCCACAAATACAACACACATCAGGCGGCCATCCAGGCTGCGAATGACCAAAACTAGCGGTCAAAATCTGAAGACGACCGTCCTATCCTGCTGATTACAACAGCCAAAAGTTGTATAAAAACAGCCTCATTTCCTTTCCATTGACCGAATAAATGTAACATATAAGTCAGCTTTTCTTGGAGAGGAAATCCGATCTTGCCATAGAAATTCCACCAAGGAAACTATCGGCACCAGGCTGATGTAATCCGAAAAGATTCCATACATAAGCTGATCAACACACAGCCCCCGATTCAAATCGGCTTTAAAAATAGTTTATTTAATGCGAGCCTTGTGTGGCCACGTGGTTGCGCTGCGACGGATCTCACAGCACAGGCTGAAGCCATTGACGCAACGCAACTACTTCTGGCGCCGATGCGCTATGTATCCGGGATTTGGTAATGTTGAAACTTGCAATCAAGCGATTGAAAGCCAGACTGTGAGATTAAGAGCACTGTGTGGGCCGATACGAACGACAGTCGACTGCATAGCTGGCCGGCACCCACCCCCGCAAACGACCACAGGGCAGACTGCTGCACCGCCCTCTTGTGTGTCAGCTTGATATGTAACGTCTGGGGCATCTGGAAGCATCAGCGAGCGCGGCGGACTTCAGGGTTTCCGGTCTTGCTCCAGCCCTCTCTGCTCCGAATGTGTAATGACGACCGGCAGCCGGACGGATATCGACCTACCGTCGCCCGAAGGACACAAGTATCGATACCGCGGCCGCGCCGGCCGGCCATCGAACACCGGATACGGGAGTTCATCAAATCGGCTGGAGACATGCGGTAGTTGGGGGGCGACAGGGCAGGGGGCAGAACCGGAACCGGTCATGGGATATTGTGATGAAATGAAGGATAAGATGGTTTGTGAGATGTTAATCACATCATGACACTGTCCACTGGATGCTATATACCAAACAGCGGACGTCCAAGCGGGGTATACGTAGGATAACTAGACACTTGCATGACGATGCTGCTGACAAAAAGAGGCATGTGGGACCCCAGCACTTTGGTACCCAGCCGTTCGGTTAGCCCGCGCCCGGCTGGGGGTCCTGGATTTCCACGCCCTGCTGGGGGGGGGGGGTGTTTGAACACCCCCCCCCCTTGTAACTCGGCTCCTGGGCCACGTAGCGATACGCGGAAGGCGGCGTTCGAAAGAGCGTAAAAAATAATGACGAAATCACTTCGGTCAATTTTTTGGTCAGGTCAAAGGTCAGGTCACCAGAGGTCATTGAAGGCAAAATTTCGCCGATTTCCAGGTCGAATGTCAAAAATTTCCAAGAAGCTAACGCATAACTCGGGAACCAATAGAGCTACAGCGCTGCGGAAAAGTGCATTCGATAGCCCTATTAACGCCCTTTCTGAGTACTTCTCTCAGATTTGACCTAACGTCAACGGTTTTGCCTGCAGGAGGCAAAAACTGCAAAAATAGCCGATTTTTTTCGGAAACAGTTTTTCTGCAATAACTTTTGATCCAAGCCTTGTACGAGCTTACTCTTACCGGCATCGTGTTCCTCTCGTCAAGACGCATTGAATGAACTATAACTTGACCTTGAAAGGTCAACTTGAAAATTTGACCTCAGGTCAAGGTCAAGCCGAGCGAAGGGTCCGGACAACCGGAAAGGGTCATGTTGCATATCAGTCAATCCGTATCGTCGAGCTGAACACATATAAGGCGTTTTCATCGCTCTAGCATGCCTCTATCAAAAGTTATTTGCGAAAAACGGTTAGATACCATTCGTGACTTAAGATGACCTCAGGGCACAAACAAGGGTCACGGACACCATTTTCATGTTCAGTGTGTCTAAACTACTTGTAATTCGGTGTTTGGGACTGTTTATAATGTCTTTCGTCCAAAAGAGGCGCATTTCAATTTTCTCCCATTGACTTATAATGGGGAGGTCGCAAAATTGACCTGACCTTAGGTCATCGATATCAAAATTCTCAGATATACATTTTGTACATGCTATTGCTCTTAGCAATCGCTGAAAGTTTCAAAGCGATCGGTCACTCGGTGTAGCTATGACAGACATTGAAACTTTTTATGAGGTGAGGTCACTTCAAGTGACCTGGTGACCTGACCTTGAATGACCTTGGTCTGAAATTTTCACAACATGTGTAGAATTGATGTATGATAAGGTGTACCAAAAACGGCTTTGAGATATTCGCGAAAAACCACAAGGGGGTGTTCAAACACCCCCCCCCCCCCCAGCAGGGCGCGGGTTAAAGGTAGACTGCCACCTTTTTACCACAAAACGGTTTTCACTAGAGCTGAGCCACCTATGTCCCAGACTGAAGTCGGTTTTCCGAAATTCGAACCCGTTTGCGAGAAATCGGAGACCAAAGTTCAGTTTGATGCCATTTTTTTAGTCCAAGAAAACCGACATCTCTACTGTTTATCGATAACTTTGAAACATGAATTTTCTTATCTTTTGGTAAATATATGTCAAAACTTTGATCGTTTCGAGATCAGAGAAGAATTTTGGAGTGTCAAAATAAAAGTTAAACTTATATATTCAGTTTTCATTTTTTCCAAAAAAGTGTGGGAAATGGGGTTTAACATGGGCCAGACCCATTCCAAATGAGCCATGATTTTTAAATGTTTTACGAACTTAAATGCATGAAATAAATTAAACATGGCCAATTTCTTATGAAATCATATTTTAGTAAATCATAAAATACCTTACTTTTTCAAATAAAATGTAATAATCTTATGACCTTGAAGTCTAGTGATGTGTAAACATTGTCGCTAGACATTAACCGATTGATAATTGCATGATAATCGACAATTTTTTTCGCGATTCACGTGATGATACTTTGTCAGGTGAATTATAAAATTTTGTTTTGTCCAGGGAATAAATCATAGGCCGATCTGAGAAAACTTTTTGAAGGTGGCAGTCTTCCTTTAACCTAAAAATCCAATATCGTGGTATTCTGAACTCTCTTCAGCAGCCCTGTGGTGTCCGTGCTGGCACCGATCAGGGAACGTCCCGACGACAGCTGACAGTCAGAGCACGTCCCTTCCGGCTTCACTGGGCTCGACGATCAGTGAAGTTATCGACCTGGTAGTCCGCCCAGACTATCAGTGTAAGCTGGATCAAATCAACAACAACCTCCATCTAAACAACACTCCGATACCGGCTCCGCAGCAATAAACCAGACGCCAGGCATTTCTTCACCTCCGGACTGGATTTTCAGCGCGACCAAAGCTGTTTATTTGCTCCCAGTGGGCGCCAGTCAATATCGCGTCTGACTGCGATCAGCCGGGTGGTTCCCTAGCCGCCTGTGGCCGCGCCGGTCGACCCGGCCGCCCCAGGCCTCACAAAGGGAGGTCACCCGTCCGGTAACAGCCACCCTTATTGTCCTGAACCGGTATTGGAATGCTTTGCAACAACAGGGGAACACTGAAGGATTCCACTCGCGCTAAGGGTCGCGCGAGGCTGGCGTATTTACAATGCCAGCACGTATGTTGTCGAGCGCCGGGCAGGACTTCTTTTGAAGAACTAACGATGTGCAAATAGAAGATTTTGAAATGTAGGCCGAACGGAGTGCTACACATATTCTCGAGTCGCATGTCTTCTCAATTTTTTAGTACTTTTGGTGAAAAGTTTGCCTCATTTCAACATCACGCAGGTAAAAGATCACGCAGATAAAACGTTGGAAAGGAAACTACCACGCAACTGTAATGCATGGTAGGCACAAAATAAATCAATATTTGCTCCGCAGGCGATTATATAAAATGCTTTTGATGCGAGGTAGTTTACATAAGCTACCTAATTTACATCGTATAGTATCAAATTGAAGGGATAAAAAGATATTGCAAGCTACAGAAATGTGCTCTTTGAAACCATTCAAAAGAAGCGCGGCTTTTCAAAAGGTTCCATTATACTGGCAAAGTTGCTTACGCCCGGCGCAACCTGATTAAATCAGTTTACTTTGACGCAAGTTGTTACCGAGTTTGGAAGTTTCTGCCTGCGGCACGGCAACAGAGACATACAGAGGGGTTCGAGCAGAGACATCCGAGATGAGGAACCGAGCAGCATCCGCACATAGGCGTACGTCAACTTCTATGGTAACAACCGAATAAAATCAAGAGAATGGACTCGCTAAAAACAGACGGTATACTTGGACCTTACGATACTCGCACGAGGGTGGACATGTTTCATTTCCAAGCGGATGCGGATGCATGTTTAAGGAACTGCAACTCCTTCCCGAGCAAAATTAGCTAACGGATAAGCCGGTTTGTTCCAGCTAAGACTGATGGGAACTAATTATTGTGTGTCTTTGATGGATATGCTGCAACGCAAAAAAAAATGTTTGCAGACCACAAAGAGGAAACAAATACGTACGAAATTTCATTCCACTTCTCTCTTTTCAAGAAACACAAACATTGACTGACTTTGTACGCAGCGCTCTTACTGAACTTCAACTTATCAAGATGACCTTAACCTCAACGAACTTGACCCTGCTATACTGACCGCGACCCCGATATACTGACCGTGACCCCGGTATACTGACCACGACCCCACTATACTGACCTTGACCTCTGCGCCCGATGCGCCGGGCATCAGTTCGGCGATTTTGCGCAGGTTGATGCCTCTGGTGAGGTTCATCTTGCGCGAGTGGATGCGCAGGATGTCGAGGCGCGCCTCCTCGTTCGGGGGCGGGAACTCAATCTTTCGGTCAATCCGGCCCGGTCGCAGCAGCGCAGAGTCCAGGATGTCGATACGGTTGGTGGCCATGATCACCTGGAGAAAGGGTCACACGATGTCACCTGAGGTCACACAGGGTCGCATGAGGTCATACAGGATCACATAGGATCATACTGGAGAAGACGAAGTCACATCAGGTCAACCAGAACTACACAGAAGTCACAGGGCCACATGTGGGCGTCCTCGTATTCTCGTACAAGCAGTCTCGTACCGGCTCTGATATCGGCACCAGAAAATAGGTACCCTTGTCAAAGTTCAGACAAAATGCCGGCCCAATCAACTGGTCCAAACAATACACCAAGCCAATATTCCGGTGAGAAAATGCCGACCCAAGGCAATATACCGGTTAAAATAGCCCGTTATGGGACAATATACCGACTATGGTGGTCCGTTCTCGGCAAGACACGGTGTAGGAGGGCTGTCCAGGCAATGTACCGTGGCAAAGAGCGGCCAAAACGATACAGCAGCGACAAACGTCGCTCCCGTATCTTAGCAATACATCGGGAACAGTATTGTGCCTCATATATCAGTAGTCCGTAACAATAGTCCGATCCAGGTAATATGTCAGTAATAGCGGCCTGACACATTATGTGTATACCTGTGACAGTAGCCGTCCCAGATTATAATACACTGGTAACAGTAGTCCGTCACAGATCAAATTCCAGTGGCAGGGGACGTCGATGATTTGCCAGCCTCAGACAGCACGCCGGTACTTCTCAGAGGTATCACTGTTTACGCTTGACTATGAGTGGTCCACATAATAAACCGGTAACACAACCTCAGACCAATAAACTAGCCCCAGACAATATATCGATGAGCCGCAGACAATAAACCTGCGACAGACTGGCCTCAAACAACAAACAATTGACCGGCCATCGCCACTCTGTTGACAGCAGTCGGCCCTGACAACACTCCATTGACGAGGTCCGACCTCAGGGGACTCTCGGCGGTCGGTACCAGCTGACGACGGTCACAGCTGCACCGTTCGACCGGCAATGGGCCCCAAGTGGCCCAGACGACCGCAGAGCAGGGGGCTGGCAAGGTGCGACCCCGCGGGGTATTGAGGGTACGGCCGGTACTTGTTCGCTGGGTAGATATAGGGACGGGTCGACCTAGTGATACCATTATGTGCCCTTTTCAACTAAGTTAGTCAGTGAAGAATGTGTTCGCAGCGATGTAAAAAAGGTATTGAGGTAAATATCCCGTAAAAAGGAGACAAGGAAACAAAGCCTGCAACCATCACAAATCGTATGCAAGATGATCCAGTGTGAATAGCGGCAAGAAAATGACTAGGCGTTGTCTATCACCACTGACGTTTTGTGGGTAGCCTGAGCGCTGGCTGGCACGGTTCGTCGGAAGGTCATCTCAGGCTCAAAAGAAACGATATATATCATTCGAAAGCTGACGGTGAGCTGAATCCAAAAATGTAATTTTTATCCAAATCGATCGATGGCCTTTTTTGAAAATTGCGTTTTTGTAAAAACTTAATAATATTTTATTTAACGGGCTGTCCCAGACATTCTTGAAAACATAAACATGTATTTTTTAAGTTCCAGTGAAAGCTGAACGCCAAAAGAACAATATTTAGCGAAGCAATATTTCCAAACATTAATATGCGTCTCCCACAGCCGACAATAAGGCGCAATCACACAGCTCAGTGTCACGATGGACCAAAGTCAGCCACACAGAAGCGTGAAATGGCCCTTATCGACTCTCAGACCCGGCGCTCTCGGCCCGCCTGACCGGCCACGGAAAGAGCGTTCGGCTCTCGTTCTACTAAACAAATGTCATATTTGTCAGTTAAACTTTCCACATCGCTATTAAAGTTATTCAGGATACCTGTGAAGAAAACTCATTGTTCTGTCATCTTCACATCATGCATTAATTTTCATTTGTTCATGTCTACTTTTCTCAATCGAGCTTGGCATCATGCCCATATAAGGAAAATTGGCCGCGCTGAAATGTCAGAGGCTGCACCGGCCTCAGCTCGGGTGGAGTGGGGGTAGCGCCCGGCGGGGCAGGGTAACCTTTGACCGGTCGCACGGCCGAGCAGCTGTCACCAGTACAGCCTCTGACAGTGAAACCCCGCTCACTTCCCCTGCGCGGGCACTGATCGCAGCTGGATGGAACAAAACATGTAAAAGAAAAATGTAAATTAAAGCATGTTGTAAATCAAGCAGAACAATGATTTTTCTTCACAGGTATCCTGAATAACTTTAATAGCGATATGGACAGTTAAACTGACAAATATGACATTTGTTTAGTAGAACGAGAGCCGAATGTTCTTTCCGTGGCCGGTCAGGCGGGCCGAGAGCGCCGGGTCTGAGAGTCGATAAGGGTCATTTCACGCTTCTGTGTGGCTGACTTTGGTCCATCGTGACACTGAGCTGTGTGCTTGCGCCTTGTTATCGGCTGTGAGAGACGCATATTAACCCATTAACGCCCGAGCATAGAAACAAGTATTCAATAATAATGATTTTTTGGATTTGATGTTGAATTCGGGCGATTAACAAGCCCTGAAAAAATTGGACCAAAATTCCAAAAACTTTTTGAGATACGATACCGACCCAAAATGAGCCACCGGGCGCCCGCTCCCAGCCGCCGCGCCGCCTCCGCGGCCGGCGCGGGGTCCGCCCCGCCCCGCGCCGATCGGCCGGCCACTCTCCCCACCCGCAGCATGGCCGCCTCCTCCCAGTCCTTCCCTCCCCCGGCACTCATCCAATATCGGCTTATTTTCCGGAGGTTCGAGACAGCCTGACATTCCAAGGAAATAATGTATTTCGTGACTACAGTGTTTCACGCAAACGAGATCGACGGGCCTTTCAAACGGCGACCTGCGTCATGTAATGCCGCAAAACACAAAACCTAGGGACGTAGGGTAAGGTGCCTAATTAGCGACCCTTTCCGATTTGCGACCTACCTCCTTACAGAAAAACTGGCAGGAGAAAACGGGGTAAAAACATCATCAAAAGATCAGCCATACTTTGGTTATCAAATTAAATTATTTTGCGGTTGTCGATGTTTCTGGTAGGACGTTTCAGGTGAGTTTAAATAAAAATGACGAGTTTCTTATCCAAAACGTGTGTGTTTGGGCTCTCTCTGACGAAAAGCGATGCACAGTAGGATGATGCACCTTTTTTATTCTGAATCGACATTCCTTTTTCAATTGATTGCCGTTTTCCCTTAGTGAATTGCTTAACTGTGCACAGCATGGCGGTTAAAAATCTGTCGCAACTCATATTTCCTATTTGCGCCTGACATGGTCGCAAATAGCTCAAGAAGGAAAATAAAGGGGAAAAGTGAGAAATGAAAATGAGGTGTTGCTGAAGCTTGCAATGTGTGGCAGGGATGTCAAATGTCGTCACCGACTGCAGAGGTGCCGAATTCAGCGCGGACCTCGAATATCATACGAGATAGCCCGCAAAATTTGGGTTTCCGCCTTCTTTTCGCCTTCGGTGCATCACGTGATCAGTTTTTACTTACGTAAATGTGTTGGATAAACGTTCCTGTTCGAGTGATTGAGTGCTTTGCGTATAGGTTACCTTTTTGAGATCATATTTCATATTTTCAGGCGTTGCATTTTTTGCCATTTTTAATATGGGGAAACACATAGACTTATTAGCGACCCTCCCCGGTCGCTAATCGGGAAGAGTTCCCTATTAGCGTTTTTTGCAATGGTTTGCCAAAATGCTCACTACAAATACGTTAGTGAATATTGGGGCAGAAAATGACTATATTTTAATAGAAAAATGAACGATCTCTCCGAAAATCAAGCCAGTAATACAGTGGCACCCACAGAGCGTGAGCAATGAAGGTTCAAATTAAGGGGGTCGCTAATTAGGCACCTTACCCTACCTATGCATAATTACAACATGATGGGAACTGTGGAGTGTAGAACGATGAGAACACATCATTTACTCCTCATATAGTAGGTATACGGCAGTAATGCTTCAATAAGATGATAATGACAATGCGATCAAATTTTCACCGTCTGTCTCAACACAAGCTGTCATTTTTCATCGCACACTTTCTCACTCGACATCGCGGTATAAACGAAGATAATTCAGTCGAATTCGCATTGCACGTTTGCACCTCATACCACTGTACAGTGTACACTCACGGCGACAGACCATGGTACACCGCAAAGCACTTGAAGCAGATGGCCACGTCACACTTGATACAGCGCTTCGTCGAGCGCAGCTTGCAGCTCTCTAGCTGGCAGCGACGGCGGGCGTTCAACGGTGCCAGCATGTGCCCGACTCCGGCATACCGGAGGCTGGCCGGGATGTGTGACGGCAGCGGCCGGGCCGCGTCTCTCTCGCAGGCTGCCGCCTTCAGGTACGTTGTGGCGATCTCACGACGGAAGTTGATGAGTGACAGCTGGTCACCGGTTGCCGCGGTCTTATGCAGGATATGGCTGTTGACCACGGCCATGTCCAGCATCCTGGTGATGAGACACCAATACCATTTTTTTCCGCGGATCGCCACTTCATACGCACCCAGAAGCTGGTCGTGCAGGTCGACTCCGCCCATCCCTGTGTTGTACGTCTTCAGCACCTTGGGCTGCGGTATCGGGAGGCGCTTTTTGGCTGTCCTGTCGTACCGGGTAGTGGAGGTGGGCGGGTCGGCTGCGTCGTAGTTCGTCATGACGTTGACGACCTTGTTGTCGTGCCACCTGACCAGCAGCACCTCTGACGTCCTGTCGAACCTCTGTTCGTAGCTGCCACGCCGTGACTTTGCCATCTCCTTCCTCTCGGTCACGGGACATTTGTCCAGTCTATTTTCCCTCACTGTGCCCGTCGCGCGTACTCCGCGGTCCTTCAGCTGCGCGAGGAGGCTTCTGGAGGTGAAAAGGTTGTCAAAAAACACCTCATGACCACCAGGATCCGACACCACGCTCAGCATGTCCATCACCACTCTCGTGCCCAGCGGCTGGTCACGCAGCTCAGGACGCTCTTCCTTTCCACAGTACAGGTCGAATTTATAGCAGTATCCGTCACTGCCACAAACCGCCCAGAGCTTGTAGCCGAAACGAA